ACACACACACACACACACACACACACACACAGAATTGAGAAACAAACCCCATCCTGTCCTCCTGGACAGTGGCGTGGACGCAGCAGCATGAAGACAGATGGAGTCGGACGTGGAACAGTTCTGCAGTGCAGCACCGGAGCAGAACATTAACATACAGCACCTCCTGGAGGAAGTGGTCCAAACAACTTTGTGAGCGAATGTGAGCGATACTGTGCAACAGCGCCCCTACAGTTTCTAGTGGTACTGCTCCGTCTGCTGAAAAATGACCAAATTACATATGTCTGAATACAGAGGAAGTCCAAAGACCTGGACCTAAACCATGTGATCTGTGGTTGGCAGCACTACGATAGTTGGACTAGTTTTTATTGTTGGTAAAACCCAGGCAGGTCGGGGTGTGACACTGAATCGTACAAGGAAACAGAAGAGTGGAAACTCCTTCAGTTGTTGATGATGTAAAGACAGAAATATGTTGTTTGATCAGATGAAAAACTTGTTTGTTTCTGTGAGGGCAGAGGTCAGTGACGTGAACAGCTGATGGTACCACTGTTACCATCGCTGTCTTTACGTTAATCTGGCCGTTTATACAGTAGCTGTAAAGAGGAGCCCCACTGTGGTCACTAATGAAACTACCATTATTTCATAACTGTTGGAATCATTTATTGATGGAACGTAACGAACAGCAAATGTGAAAATGTATCTTTTTTTTTGTTGAAATTTGAACTTTGAGTAAAGGACACTACTGATCATCAACTACTGGTCCGCGGGCTCCATCTGACTCCCCGAGCCATCCAATCCGGCCCACGACTGGATTCCAAAATAAACATAAACTAATGATGTCAGACAATATTGTGATTTTTTTTTTAAAGTGAATTTTATTCGATTGTCCGGCCCCCAGATGTCTGTCCAGAAAAATACTGGCTCTCAGACAAGTACACTGTACGCAGTAAATACTGGTAGTACAGATACACAGTACAGTAGCAGTGTCTGCGTCTGCAGCTGCAGCTCCGACCTCATCTTCTCAGAGTGACCCCTGGTGGACGCATCTCCTCCACCTACACTGACTGAGCTTCTTGGACGTGAACGGAGTCAAACCAACCTCACACACGTGAAGCCCCGCTGCTCCTCCTCCCGCTGCTCCTCCTCCTCCCGCTGCTCCTCTGCTCCTCTTCTCCTCTGTGGTGGTGTTGGATTGGCACCGCTGCAGCTGCAGTCGTATGACCTTCATTATTTCTTTCCTCTTTTACTCTTGTCTCCAGTGATCTGCACAGGCAGAGAAAAGAGAGAGAGAGAGAGAGGGGTGAGGGGGAGAAGGAGGGGAGCGGGTAAGACAGAGGGGGAGAGGGGCTGCTCTGTGATTTGGACGTCCTTCACATCCTGGTCTGTGTCCTTGCAGCAGAAAGTTTTCTTTCTGTAATTTTTCTTTAATCCATGGCCTCAGAGCCGTGACCTTTGTGACCTTTGTTCGGCAGAGAAAGTAGGAAAACTGACCTGCTGGTTAACTAGTCCATTTAAACTAGTCTTCATTAGTGATTAGTGACCTTCATTCTAATGCACCAGTGAAGAGTGTGTAGTTTTTAAAACACCCTTCGATCCTTGATGATCAAACTCAGTGAAACAGTTCCCACGCATCCTGGAAAACCTGGAAAACCACTGACCAGTTTTCCATGTACGGAGAATGAGGAAAAAATTCAAATGTTCTGAGAAACACTGAGCTCTGCTGGAAATGTGAACAGATTTAAAGTCCGAGTCTCAGTCCTGGAAAACCTGGACAACCTGGAAAAACCAATTAAGAAAATGACAAAGAAAGTCAAAGGTCCTGGAAACACTTGAATTGTCCTGAAAAATGATTCACCCCTCCCCGACCCCTGAGAGAATGTTGTTACACATTTATATTGTTCAATAAAAAGGCTTCTTTGCTTTCTGTCAGGACAGCGCCCCCATGTGACAGTACCAAAAGGCCTGTTCAACTACATCTCGTTCTTAATTGTTCTTAATCATTAACTTCCTGTTCTGTGTCTGTGTTCGGTCCAGGTGACGTGGGCGGAGCAGCAGGTGTCCAAAAAGAGAAAAAAGAGGGACACGTTTGTAGAACCTTCAGATCCCAAGTTCAAGGACCAGTGGTATTTGGTGAGTACAAACACAAACCACAACTTCACAGACCAAATACAGAGGATTTGCATAGAAGAAGTTACTCATGTAAATCACACTGTGACATGTGTGTACATCCAGAGTCCAGGTAAACACCAGGTAAACACCAGGTCAAGACGACTCCCCCCGGCAGTCCTCCAGGTCCAAACCCACTGTTTATCATGAGCCACATAATTAATGGAATGAAAATTCTCCTTGAATAAAACTCTGTTCGTCCAGAGCATCTCATTCTGAACAGTCGTATGTGGAATTGACGGATCACTAAAACACGTCGACAGCTCGGTGACAAAAGACGCAGAGAAGTCCTCCGGACGTTCTCTTGTTTTCAGCTGATTGATTTGAAGAACGTCGTCGATACGCTGGTCCAATAAAAGCCCGGGAGATTTTTTTTTCTATTGTTCAGCTCCACTTTTCCTCAATTATTCTGCGAGCTAGCCTGAGGCGGAGGACGTTTCACCAAGACGACTGGTTTCACCAGTTGTTGAAAATGTCAGAGCGTTAAGAAGGAAGAGAAGGAGTTTAATGACACATTTGTCAGACAAATGAGTTTGTCGTATGTTCCCATTTGCCTGTTCCCTGTTGGTGTCGGTGTTGGTGTCAGTGTTGGTGTCGGTGTTGTCTCAGTGTTGGTGTTGGTTTTGTCTCAGTGTTGGTGTCGGTGTTAATGAATTAAGAAATAAATTGTATCTCTTTGATTTCAACCTAATGACCAACTAATAACTTCATTATATTTTTTTAACGGTCGTTGACTGTCAGTCATCGACCGTCCTCAGAGCTGATGCAGCGACTGATGCTCACGTGTCCATGTTCTGAGAGAATACCGACATCAAGATTTTTGTCTGGTGTGCGGTGGGGTTTTTCGTATGTACATATGTGCTGTGGCTCATAAACACAGTACTGTTGTGTATTAGTCTGTAAACTTCATCTTTGAAACTCTGACAGAAACAGGTTCCTTTTCCGTATCAGATGAAACTCTGATCGTTAGCTTCTTAATAAAAGCTTTGAACTTTGCAGCTGTGCCGTTTCACCAAAGGTCAACGTGGATGTAATAATATATATCACATCAGGTACCATACAGAATGATATATGTGAGGCAGCTGAGCACGCACACACGCCTCTGCACAATGCTAATAAACGCTATTAACACGCCCTCGGTACCGATGCTGCGGTTTCCTTCCCTCGGCTGAAAGGCTTCAGCTTCTTCTAAAGTCTCCAGCGTGGTTTTCCCAGGTGCCTCAGCTGCAGCTCAGCCTTCATCGTGATGTTTAAACCTTCTTCTATAAAGTTCTTCCAAATTGGGTTCAAAGTAGAGTTCCAAGTCCTTCAGAGTGTCTCCTGAATAATTGGGTACCGTGTCATTTCTTTACTCTCTCCTCAGTATAACAGCAACCGCCGTGACCTAAATGCTAATAGTGCGTGGCAGCTGGGCTACACAGGTGAAGGAGTGGTGGTGTCCATTCTGGATGACGGAATAGAGAAGAACCATCCGGACCTGGCACAGAACTATGTGAGTACGGTTCCTAAGGACTCTCTTGTAGTATGATTCAAATAAAACAAAAAACAAACAAAAAAACCTAAGTAAAGATCTGGAGGGTGAGCAACAATAAATTTACCACAGACTTATTTTGGTTTAGTGTAAGTGCAGTGTAAGTAGGTCTAATCAATCATGTTATTATAGGCTCAGAGAGGAGAGTTTATATTTACACCTTTGGTATCTCCTTAAAGGACCCAGACGCCAGCTACGACGTGAACGATGGCGACCCAGATCCTCAGCCTCGATACACGCAGCTTAACGACAACAGGTACGGAAGAAAGTTACACATATAACACATAATATATGTTATATATGAATATGTTAAAAAATGTATGTATTTGTATACTTGTATATATACTATATATGGTTTCATTACAGTATATATATACTGTATATATACATAATTATGGATACATGTATAATATGTATATGCTGTAACTATATATAAACAAGTATTTAAAGTAGATAAATACAAAAATATATACATATATGTATGTGCATATATACATATATACTGTAATAAAACTATATTCAAGTATATAAATACATATGTTTATATACATATGGTAATGAAACTATATATATATTTACAATTATATATATATAGTTTCATTACAATATGTATAAATATGTATGTAAATACATGGATATGCAGACACTTCTTCCAGCATTCTGTCTTACACACACACACACACACACACACACCTGAGATAAGCCACAGCTCTTTTGAAGTGAATTATAGTTGCTAAATTTACAGAAACTATAAATGTAGAGGGCGCCCTCCAGCAGGGCTCTGTGGCTAAATATGCCACTTATTATAGAAGCTTGATTTCCCAAGGCCAGAGTGCTGAGCCCAGGTCAAGTCACAGGAGGTGGATGTGTGGTAAGAGCCAGAAATATGGTATATGCTCCAGTGATCTACGTTGGTTTAATTCCCTTCACTCTGGCAGCCACACTGCCAACCTGTCGACACGACCAAGGAAGTTTGTGGATTTGGAGTATGAGTGGCTTTATATTTTTATTCTCCCAAATATTGTCCGTAGTTTTACATCACACCAGCGCCACCCTTCGTGACCTTTTTGTAACTACGTTTTTACGTAGAGAAAATCAGCGCCGGCGTTAAGGTAGCGTGTGAGTCTTGATGGCCGTGCTCTCTGCAGATTTAATTAGCAGTGGTTTACCACCGCTGCGGTGTCTCGCTGAGAATTGATGGAATTAAGTTAATCAGCGTTAATGAATCAGAGAGAATCTCCCGGCTCTGGAGGGGCCGCCGCTCGTCTGCCTCCATTTGTCCTCGCCTCCTGCTTTCCCGTCTGTCTTTAATTTTTGATTTGCCGTAATCTGGTGTGTATTTGCTGCTCGTGGCCTCGGGGGAATACGTTTTACGTCAAGCTGCGCAATTACCGGTGCACAGCCGGTGGGAGGAACACACGGCTGGTGTGTTCCTCCCAGTATCTGCTCCTCCACCTTTTCCCCGTCAGACTGTAATCCGTTCACACATTACCTCAGAACGTGCAGACGGTTTGATTCCGACACAGACTGAAGGGTTGCTCTCAGTTCTGCTGAAATGGACGCTGATAAGAAAAAGTCTTTAACTTTATCTACTCTGATCTGACATCGACTCCAGCGAATGGTACGACTTCATCTACAAATCAATCCTCGTGGACCTCCTCCTACACGCGGTGCAGTCGGTGCAGCTACAGCCTGAACTCCCAGGCTTTTCCTTTTTTTTTTTTGCCCTCATGTGTTCCCTCTGTCCACACATACGTGGGCAAAAAGTTTTTTTTTTTATAATCCTCTCCCTCACCCTGGCACAGTTGTCCACGTTGATTTATCTTTAGACCGTAGTCTTTAAGGGTACTTGAAGAACCTTTGAGTACCTCTTCCTGTTCTTGACACTTTAATCTGTTCTGCTCTCACTTCGATTTGACCGTATTGATTTCACTGCTCTGCTGCCGTACTGTATTCCTGTCTGTCTGTAACTAATTGCTTTTTGTTTATTAAACGGCGTGTCTGAATCGGTTCTCTGTGGAGAGTGAGACCTCATGTCTCACTGAGACTCTTTTATGAACAGAAGTTATGTTTTTACAGATATTCTATTTCAAGATCCAAACGTCTGTAGAATCTCAAATACTTGTAAGATGTTTTAATACTTCTCTGTCACTCTCTTTGCTGTCCTGGTTGAGTATTACTAGATGTATGTTGTTGTCTTGACGATCTGTCTCTACAACCTTTGTTAAAACTCAACGCAGTGTTGGGATCGCCCCCTAGTGGTCGCTGAGCTAATGTAAGCAAAGTGCAGCGAGGCAAATAATTTTAGTCGCGGACGATATATTCGTACTGGACAGGGTTTAAGAGGTGTGTAAAGAATCCATCTGTGATCAGTCATACGAGTTTAAGGAATTAGCAAAAAAAATTGCAAAATATCGCAAATAGGTTTTCCTGTCAACAATAGTTTTTCTACCAAATGGGGGCGCTGTCCTAACTCTAAAGTCTAAAGCCTAAAGTCTGTAGATGTATTTGATAGAACATACTAATTCATTCTTCTGTAGATGGATTTGATAGAACATACTAATTCATTCTTGCTCCAGTCCTGTTCAATCAGATCTAGTCTTAACTCGGGGTCATTTTCGCAGCAGGACAAACTCAAGGACACGAGGCTGTACATATGTTTACGTTTATTTTTCCTCTTAACTTGCAAAGGCTCGGTTGTCGCGCAGGCACGTGCGTTCAACCTGTGGAAGGCTGAGAAACTAAACTGCGTCTGTTCCCTTCAGAAAGCGCACGTCTGTTCCCGTCCATAAAGACGTCTTTATTTTCCCCGTTTTACGGTTAGCACTAAGGATGGCGCTGTAGCAATGCGTCCATTCACGCCGGTGTTTATCTTTGGCAGCGAGGGAACGAGATGTTTCTCTTTCCTCGTACTCGTCCCAGGACGGCGTCCAAGTCTGAATTTTCTGGATTAAACCTGGTTAAAGTCACACATTGTTTCACAGCAGCCCTTCGCACTGCGAGGAGGGCCGCTGTAATACGAGCTCAGATGTACAGAGAGGGAACATTGTGCCGTCTGAACAATGCCAAGGTAACAGTGTACACATGGCGAAGAGAAGGCTAATATTTTTGAAGGGACCAGCTCCAACATAAATCACTGTGAGGCGCTGTACTTCAGAATCCACTCTTTAACATCAGCTCTTGGTTCTGCCGTTACTGGAAGAACCATTTCATCAGAACAGCCCAGATTCCCATGAACAGTAAACGCCACTTGTTCTGCGTGTTTTTTTTTACTGCCAAGTCAGGTGTGTTTAATTCATGTTTAATATTTGAAAACGTGCAATCCTGGGACCACAGCCTCGATTGATTACTGCTTACAACGAGCGACTGAGGACTTTGACGAATTAATTTTCAATAATTAATTGCAAAGAATAATTATGTGATATCACATTCCGTTTAATCACACTCCAGCTCAGCCCCACAGTTTGTCAGCTGCAACACAGACGAACAGGAAGTGCTGAGTGATGTTAGCAAATCAGAGTGTTTGGTTAACGGTGACGGAAGACAAGTCTCTGTTTTGTGTCTCTGATTTGTTACGTACTGTGTGGAACTGATTTTGTTTCTCCAGTTCTTGACACTTGAATCGGTTATTTTCAGGGCTAAAAATGTATTTTTTTTTCTAGAATTAGTTTTTGATCTTGTTTGTTAAACTTTGTTTTTTATATCATTTACTAGACATTTCATGCGACCCTACGTGGACTTGCAACCCCAAGGTTGAAAAAACACTTTCTTCCTTTCATTCTCTCCCTCTCTTGCTCTCTCTCTCTCTCTCTCCCTCTCTCTCTCCCTCTCCCTCCCCCCTTTCTCCAGAGTTCATGTGACTGATGAACCTCTGTTTTATCTCCACTTCAAAGCCTTTGCTCGTCACTGTTTTCAGCCTGATGAGGACGTTGGTTTGTGTTTCATAAGAACTCACTTCGT